AGTTTTTTTTTAAATATATATATATAAAATAAAGGGCATGGTTATAGGAATGCACATAACAGAATCTTATTAAGATTTTAAGAAAAGATTAGGGCAATTATTTGTTATCATATGAAAAGATAGCTCTAAGTTCCCTAGTCTGAAATAGGAAAAATCAAGGTGTGGGATATAGCGTAGGAAGAATGGTGCTTATAGGTACTAGGGATTTTAATGTGAAAGCAACCTGACAATACTTATATTTTGGTATTTTGGTATTTTGAGAAATAAGTACCAAAGTACTAATCCCAGCATTTATTACAGTACTCAGAATTCATAAAGGAACCCATGAAACTAAATATCTAATGCATTTCAAATATAAAAATGCACATATACATCTGAAAATGTGGTTTCCATCCCAGACTCCCAGGGCCTTCAATCCACGGCCCTGTCATGAATGTCTATCTCTGACCATTCCTGTTCCCATACTGCTCTACAAGCCCACCTCACTTTTAAAAAGATTTTACTTTTAGGAAGAGTGGGGAAAAGGGGGAGGAAAGGAAAAAGGCGATGGGAGGGGGGTAAGGTATGCTGGCGGCAGCATGTGGAACAAGGGGCTGGAAGAGCTATGGCAAAGGGTGGAGGGTATTACACTTGGTAAGCAAGCCAGGAAAGATGACAGGCTGCTGACTGATCATCTGAAATACTAGTGTGATGAACCCTTACTGTATCTAGTTGTTCTGTCACAGGCAATGTTATGGAGACCTAGCTTAGACCTATCTTCACACACTATCCATACTACTTAACAACCACTGGGTACCCAGCAATGTCAGACTATGAAAACCAGCACTCTGATCACTATGATACACAGAGAAACTTCTGGAAGTGTTCACAGGAAACTATTGACAATGGTTCTTCAGAAGAGGGCAACTAGAGTGGGTTTGAGGTGATAAAAGTTTTATCTTGTGTTTCTGTTTGTTTTACTCATGTAACTTCACAAGGGGGTTGGATAATTAGGATCCTGCCCCTGTGGCAGGAAGTGGGACTTTCTTAAGCACCTCTATCGGCAAAGGTGAGTAAAAGTTACAATGTGTGGATGATAAGAAACCCAAATATTCTGCCTCTAACCAGGACCATTCATTCCCTTGAATTGCCCAAATAGCTCTTTTCATGAACTAGGTGCCAGATGTGGGGGCCCAATTACCTGCTAACTAAAAGGTCAGTGATTCAAACCCACCACCTGCTCTATGGGAGAAAGATGTGGCAGTATGCTTCAGTAAAGATTACAGCCTCAGAAACATCATGGGGCAGTTCTACCCTGTCATACAGGGTTACTATGAGTCAGAATCAACTCGATGGCAATGGGTTTGGTTTTTAATAAATTATTTTGGGGCTAGGCACACGTGTTACTTTTTTAAATAGAACAATCTACCAGAACTAGCCTTGATCGAAGCTTTTTGGAGGACAGGCAAGAAGGTTTATCTTTGGAGTGTTCTGTAAAATTTTAAAAAGCAAAGGTATCACTTTGATGACTAAGGTACACCTGACCCAAGCCACGGTTTCTTCAATCCCTCATATGCACGCAAAAGTTGGATAGTGAAAAAGGAAGACCAAAGAATTCACATGTTGGAATTGTGATGTTGGTGAAGGATACTGAATATACCATGGAATTCCAGAAGAATGAACAAATCACTCTTAGAAAAAAAACTAGTCCAGTTCAATGAATTACTTTTATATGGCTTTTCTAGCATTGGTGGTGTAATGCCTAAGGCATCCAACTGCTAATCAGAAGGCTGCAAGTTCAAACCCACCAGCTACTCTGCAGAAGGAAGACTGAGCAATCTACTTCCATAAAGATTTACTGCCTTGGAAACCAAAGAGGGTTGCTCTGAGTTGGAATCAACTTGATGGCAGTGAGGTTTTTTTTTTTTTTTTTTTTGAGTATTGGTCCTAAAACTCTTATTAAATGACTGGCTGGGACAATGCAAATAAGGGGCATAGGACCCCTGCAAGAGTGGGACTATGCATATAAAGTATGTAAAACGCTTGCCATGATTGGTTGGGATATGCAAGTAAGGTGCCTGTGGCTCACCAAGGGGATTGGTCAGTTTTCTTCACCCACTAGGTTTAAAAAGAGCCAATCCCAATGGTTGAAGGGGGATCTTATTACCATCTAGAAGAGCCAGGAGCAGAGCACATCCTTTGGACCTGGGGTCTCTGCACTGAGAAACACCTAGACCCACAATACAAAGAGAACCGTAACACTGGAAAGCTGTAACACTCTTGGTGGCAGCAGTGTGAGGTGGCAGAAACCAAGAGACCAGCCAAAGAGATAGAGGGAGAGAGCTGAATACCTTTAGGTAGGAGGCTTGCTGGTAGAGAAGGGTGCCTCAGAGCACTTACTGGCAGAGCTAAACAGCTTTGTAACACTTGTCGGAGCAGGGCAGAAGCCAGGCCGAGTGAGGACTGAGGCTGTGAGCAAGGCCTGCCCACCTGTAGGCATAGCTGAGAAGAAGCTGAGCAGGCCCACCAGCGGCAGCAAGGCCACGAGAAGGAGCTGTCCTGATCAAAGAACTGTATCCTGAATGGTTCCTGTTACTTCCAAATTGATCCTGATCCTGAATGGTAACTTGTTACTTTCCTAATAAATCCCATAATCATGAGTATGGTCTGTGAGTTCTGTGTGGCCACTGCAGTGAATTATCAAATTCTGCAGAGAAAGTAAATCATGCTGTAGAGGGGATGGCTGGTGTCAGAATTGATAAAAAGTTTGAAGGATACAGGTATGTCTGACCTCTATCACATGGGAATCAATTTGGGGCTGATCCTGATTATCCAACTCCCCTGTGAAGTTATACAAGGAGGTCTGACACTGCCATTTTTACAACAGAAAACCTGCTTAGAAACAAGGATAACAAAACTTTGTCTCATTTACTTTGGACACATCATCAGCAGAGATCAATGCTGGAGAAAGACATCATTCTTTGTATAGTAGAGGGCCAGTGAGACCTTCAAAAAGATGGAGTGACAGAGTGGCTGTAACAAGAGGCTCAAACATAGCAATGACTGTAAGGATGGTACAGGACCGAGCAACATTTCATTCTGTCACACATAAGGTCACCAGAAATCAGTGCCAATTTGACAATAACTGAACTACTACCACCTTTGGGGAAAAGACCTGGTGACTGGGGATAGCAAGGTGAAGAAGGATATTTCCCATTTTATGCTTTTCCCTGCAATTGATATTTTTAACCTTTTACATGTTAAATTGTTTAAAATACATAAATGGTGATTTGCTTCCAAAAGGTCACAGCCTAGAAACCATATGGAACAGTTCCATACTGCAACACAGGGCATCGCCATGAGTAGAAACTGATTCGATGGCAACTAGCAACAACAATAACAAGGATTTCTAGTTGGTCGGATTAAGGTGCATTTTCATTTTCTTCATGTATAGATGGAGCTGGCTGCTACCACAAACAGCCATAAACAGATGCTCTATACTAAGTTTTGTGAATGGTTTTAAAACAAAACAAAAAACAGGAATAGGCTGAAATTTTAGCTTGTGCTGGGATTATCTTTTATTTTTCTTATTTCACTTGCTGATGTGAGTTTGGTTTTTTTTTTTTTTTTTAGTGGATTTACTTATTTAACCAGTGCCATACTATTAAAATAACACTTCATTGGTCATGTGAACTCTAATACAGAACTGATCTCAGTCAGGAGTGGTTCATGTGCTGAGGGGTCTGTGTCTACCGTCAGACCCTACAGGGGCTCTCAGAATGACTTTACACCTTAAACATTTATATGGTGTGCTATTTCCTACTATCAAACCAAAGCAGTTACTGTCAAGTTGACTCTGACTCCTGGTGATGCCATGTATGTCAGAGGAAGACACTATTCCATGGGGTTCTCAACGGCTACTTTTTCAGAATGAGATCTTCAGGTCTTTCTTTCAAGGCACCTCTGGGTAGACCTGAACCTCCAATCTTCTGGTTAGCAGCTGAGCACTTAACCATTTGCACCTTCCAGGGACACCCATTATATTTTCCTACTCTTAACATTTGTGCCTTTAGGGACCAGGTTTGCTGGTCTGATAGAGCCTGGTGGAACCACTGAGACTATGGTCCCTAGCTGCCCTTCAGGTCTGTAATTGAACCCACACCTATGGCTTCCACCCAAACAAAAGACAGGCATATAAGCTGAACATTTACCTGAGGTAGATACACTCCTTGGAGAGAACAATATTTATGCACTGGGAGATAGCTCAGGGGGTAGGGGTGCATGGAGGGATGGACACAGGGAAGAGGTGACCATCAGGAAGAAGTGGGAGGGAAGGTGTTGCATTGTGGTAAATTGTGGTCAATGTCATGAGACAAAGTGTATGTGAACTGCTGTATGGAAAGTGAATTTGTTCTGTAAATTTTCACCCAAATCACACACACAAAAAAAAATCTGTGCCTTTAAATTGATCATTTCTTTTGCTGTTTGGACTACTTTATCTTCTAAATTCCTTGTCTGAATACCTACCACATTTTTTTTTTCCTCCTCCTTCTTCAAGTAAATGATTTAAGTCTATGGATTTATCTCAGCTACAGCTTTGGTGACAGTTCACACATCTTGCTATACCATGTTCTCATTTACATTTCCTTTTAAGGAACTCAGGAGCTCTGGTGGCATAGTGCCTAAGGCATTTGACCGCTAACCAGAAGACTGGCGGTTCAAACTCACCAGCCACTCTACAAAAGGAAGATGGGACAATGTAGTTCTGTAAATATTCACCATCTTGGAAACCCAATGAGGGATGCTATGAGTTGGAATTGACTCGATGGCAGTGGGTTTAAGGAATTTTTTTAAGCATTTTCTCTTACATCTCCCAGTGCTACACCATCTAACGTGTCTCACTATGACTCAGTTTACCATGCTGTGGTTGGCAGGGCGTGGCCCAGGGCCCCATGTACCTTTCCCGCACTCGGCGCACAGGTACTCGCGGATGTTGTCATGTACACGCATGTGCTCTTTGAGCATGTCCTTCCTGGCAAAGGATTTCCCACACTGCTCACAGGCATGGCTCTTCACACCTTAAAAAAAAAAAAAAATCCAAATTTCAAAGCTGCAAAATCCACACTTGTGATTTTCACACAGAGGTTATAATGGAGAAAGAACCATAGTAAGGACACGGAGTTCTCTTCTTTGTTTCATAGATCCTTCCCTCAGTGGACTCTCTGGCATGGCCCTGAGGGCCTGAGGAGGGGCAGGACCAGATGGGCAGTGCTGGGGGGGAGCAGGGCAAGTATAGCAGAAGCTGGGAAAGCAGTGGGATCTCACCTGCGGGGAAGTGAGGGGTGACCACTGTGTGCAGGAAGCACCCAGAGCACTCACTTTCATGAGTCATGTTACATCCCCCCTCCCTGTGGTCAAGGTCACCTGACAAAGGAAGCACACCCACCTGTGTGGATGAGCTTGTGCCGCTCCAGGTTCCCGATGCTGTTGAAGATGCGCCCGCAGATCTCACAAGGGTGGATGTACCTGAAACCAAAGGCAAGACACTTAGGAACTTGCCCTTGCTGGCAGGACGTGGTATTTTCTTAAGTACCCCTATCAGCAAAGGTAAGCAAAAATGACAATGTGTGGATGGTAAGAAACCCAAATCTTCTGCCTCTAACCAGGACCATTCATTCCCTTGAGATAACACTTTTCATGATCCGGTGCCAGAGGTGGGGGCCAGCAGTAAAGAAACCTAATTACTGCAGGGAAGTGGGAAGTGCCTAGGGTATTCTGGAGGCAGGCTGAGCACAGTGCTATTTTCTCTGTGAGGTTGCCTTGCTGGACCATGAGTTTCACTGAGATGGTAACAGAGCTGAGGGTGAGATCTGTGAAGAAGTCAAGGGCAAATGCATAAGCATGCTTCTTACAAGTCTTGCCAGGAGGCTATAAGTGGCCCACTAAAGTGTCTGTGCCTCTGCCCACCCCCCAGCCCGGGGGCCTGACTTCTGCACGTTGGGGTCCGGCAGGTTCTCTCGGTGGATGACCATGTGGGCGTGGTAGGTGGCTTTGAGGGCAAAGCGGCGGTTGCAGATGCTGCAGCTGTAGCCTTTCTCCTTGTGCACCTCCATGATGTGCTTCAGGTACTCCTTTCCCCGGCCAAAGGTGAGCTGTGGGCACCAGGGACAGACACCTGTGATACCCAGACGGAGGACGACAGGGCGCCACAGGTCCTGGTCCTCATCAGCCAATTATGCCATCTCACTCTCTGAGTGGCCCCCTGAGAACCCAGGACCGCCCCCCCCCCCCAGAGCAGAGAGACTACTACAGGGCAGGCAGGACTGGCACCTGTAAAAATGCCAAGGGGTCAAGTTTACGAAGTCCCCCTCCAGCTCCTCCAATACTTCCAGACAGGTGCCAGCCCTCTGCCCTAGCCAACTCTTGAGATAGCACCCTGAACAATCCTGTCTTCTGCCTCCATCTCCACCTTCCTGCCTCTCACCCCTCCCCCGAGTAGCCCAGAGGGGAGCACAACCACCCACCCCCATGCCCCAACAAGCATGCAGTAGTGAGTTGCTCAGGGATGCTGGGAGGGAAGCTGTGTTTCACAGGGCACCCAGCTCTTCACATAGCAGAGAGGCCCTAAGATCCCTAAGATAGGATCATTGCCAGTACAGCCAGGTGCTGAAAACATGGGGCACAAGCCCCACGAGAAACCACCCCCCTTTAAGCAGATGCCCCTTTCCATGCTAGAGTGGGCCTTGGTGAGGAGCTTAGGGAAGGAAAGAGGGGGAGAAGGAAAGGAAACAGGAGCCTGGCCTGAGGCCAGTGATGCTGAGCTTCAAGGAGACGGACCTCCTCCTGGAGAAGACACATGGCTGTGTGTGAAGGTAACAGGCCAAGAGAGTGGTTTGAGTGATGGTGTGCCTGTCACATGGTGAGACCCATATGTATGTGGCACAGACAAGCCCTCCAGGACATACTCTGTGGTGTGGTTACCCAGCATAGGGGTGTGTGTGTGTGGAAGGGGGTGCCCTAAATGGTATGAGGTGCCTGGTCCAGCATGGGGTGAGCAGGTATCCCAGCCTGTGCACAGCTCACCAAGTCTGAGTCTCTGCTGGTGTGGGCATACAAGAGTTGTGTGGGGTGTGGGCAGCCCTGGGGTTAGGAGCCTCCTTTCCTGTGGCCCCCAGCATTCACAAGGAGGCTGGTGAAGCTACCTGGCACCTTTTGCAGCTATACTTGTGAGGCTCTGAGTCAGCACTCTCATCAGAATTGTCGTCATTTTCTTCAGATGAGATCCCAATCTTGCCGATAAACTCTTCCCTTTGGTGGTCGTCCATGAGGGCAATATCCTGGAAAACACAGGTACAACATCTGACTCCTAACAGGCTGGCCAATGCTTTCATAGGTATTGATCCCACAGTAAGAGTTAATCATTCACCTAAAAGGAGATGGCACAGGCTCTGAGATGCAGGCAGTCTAACAATTTCCTTTGTGTGTCAGGCACTTGGCAGAGCTTGGCCTGGGTCCTCAGGTTCCCAAACCCTTGTGCATTTGGACACATCCCACTTTCTGTGATGGTCAAGCACCTGGGCCCTGCTTGCATTCAGGTGAAATCTGCACATCCGGGACTGGGAACCATTGGGGTGAGGGAGAGGCTGCATAGTCCTGGGCCTGAAGCTGGCCTGGTGCTAGGTAAACTGTGCACCCAACTTCTCCAGGCCTCAACAGTGTCACCTGTTGACCAGGGGAGATCAGGGACCTCCAAGTCTCTTCTGTGGGACCACACTAGGGTCTTTCTAAGTTCGCCTTATTTCTCTGAAAAAAGACTGCAAGAAAGGCATCTTCAATATTCCTTATGTTGTTGTTAGCTGACATCAAGTTGGCCCCAATTCAGGGTGACCCGATGTACACAGGAACGAAATACGGCCTGGTCCTCTGTGCCATGCTCATGATTGTTGTGGTTTGGACCGTTGTGATCCAAAGGGTTTTCATTGGCTGAGTTTTAGAAGTATATTGCCAGGCCTATCCTCCTCATCTGTCCTAGTCTGGAAGCTCTGCTAAAACCTGTTCAGCATCACAGCAGCACATAAGACTCCACTCATCAATGAGCACATTGGCTGAGAATCAAACCCTGGTCTCCCACAGAGAAGGCAAGAATTCTACCACTAAACCACAATTTTTCCACAATATTCCTTCTATAGGCTAGAAAAGTACAAGGCTGAGGCTCTGAGTGATGGGCCATTCTAGAAGCTGGGGGAGCACTCTGAGGGGGAGTCCTCACACATCACTGTGAACGACTCTGCTCTGGATTTTCCTCACAGCAACTCAGAGCCTGTCTGCTCTCCTCTCCTGTCCTCCAGCAGTGCTGCCAGCAGCTCAGCCCTAAGACAAAGTTTTATTTTTAAGCAAAACACAGGATTCTGGGAGGATAAAGATTTCCTTAGGAATGCTCATTACTGTATCTCTTCTTCTCTCCTGCATCTCAAGCAGAGAGATTTTTCACAAAGTCCTATTGTTTCATTTCTTCTATTGTACTACTGTGCCCTTTGATGCAAACGGAGACTGTGTATAAGTTTTTTATTAGCAAAGAAAGGACAACACCCTTTAGAAAGAGCAAGAGCCCGGGAGGGCAAGACAAGGGCAAGTATCTGTAATTGGCATCATGTATCTGTAAGGCAGTGGGGTGGTGCATAGAGTTAATGTGCTTTGCTGTGAACTGAAAGGCTGGGGCGGAAGTCCACCCAGAGGTGTCTGAGAAGAGAGGCCTGGTGATCTACTTCTGAGAAGTCAGCCACTGAAAACCCTATGGAGCAAAGTTCTGCTCTGACATACACGGGTTCACCGAGAGTCAGAGTTGACTCTGTGGCAACTTGCTTTTTTTTGTTGTTGTTATTGTTCATAAGGCACTCAGTGTAAGCAGGGCCCCTCACCTCTGCTGAGTTTAATTTAATCAGAAAGGATCCATAGCTAGGACAAGGTGGTTAGGATTCTAATGAGGTGTCTCTAAATCCATTTTACCCTAAGCTCTTAGCTCCTCCTGGACTCTCTTTCCACCACCGCAGCCTGGTCCACAAGGTTCTTCATCTGAACCCACAAGGTTCTTCATCTGAACCCCAGAATCACCCACACTCTCAACGCCTCACCCTGTCGTTTTCTCTCATACCTGTATCAAGATCCTCACCTGGGCATCAGGGCTGGGAGCTGCTGAGAGCAAAGCCACTTCAGCCAGCAGCCAGCACCTCCACTTAACTGGGGCCTTGGGCATCACCTATTATTTCTTTGGAGTCCATGGGTAGTGCAAATGGCTAATGTGCTGGACTTCTAACCGAAACGTTGGAGGTTCGGGTTACCAAGAGGCACCTCGGAAGAAAGTCCTGGTGATCTACTTCTGAAAAATCAGCCACTGAAAATTCTATGAAGCATGGCTCTACTTGGACACACACAAAGTTGCTATGAGTTGGAGTCAACTCCACAGCAACTGTTACTCATACTATGATTTCTTCATGTTTTTTTGGATGAGTACTTTCTCCCAGCCTGGAATGATCACCCCAAATCCTCATTGCTGCTTCCAAGATCCCCACACGACTGTCCATTTTCCACAAAGATGGGGTGGAATGCAAATGCCACCACCCTGCCCCTCGCTTTCTCCCTGGAGAGCACCAATAGTGGAGTTTTAATTCAAGTCCCGCAGTCAGCTACAGGAGACAAAGCAAATATACTAGTAAGAGCTCATTTCAGAGAGATCCCATTTACCAGGGTAACAACTATATCAGGATGCCTAAGGCACCTCCTGCCTCAATGACCTGACATAAGGTAGGGAAAAGCAGCATGGCATCAGCACCTTGAAGTGGACGTGGATGTGGTCCCTGAGCACGTCTACCCGGAAGAACTTGCGCCCGCAGATCTCGCAGGTGTACTTCTTGTCGCCGTGAGTCAGCAGGTGCTTGTTCATGTTGCTTCGACAGGAAAACACCTGTGGGTGGCAGAGCCAGGATAGGACAGGGGCTACAGGGTCTCTGATGTGACAATGCTGTCATCATGTGCCTTCACCTGATAGAACGTGTGGTCGCTAAGGTTGTGTGTCAACTTGGCTGAGTCTGGTTTTGAGTGGCAACTGGATGTAGTTATTCCCCATGAAGAGACTGGTAATCAACTCCATGGTGGAATCTACTATGAGCAGCTGACTAGCTACCCTAGGGATGTGGTCTGTTTCCACTATATAAGAAGACAGCTTTGAGAAATGTCTCTGAGGTTTTTTGGAATGCTTGGACCCTGCATGTAGCTGGGTCTTCACTCAGCAGCCTGCCATGACAACCTACCAGTCTTGGCACTGTGCCATTTTATTTGTCTACCTTAGGTTTGTCAGCCTCAGCTGCCAGCATCTGTCTGAGTTAAGACAAGCCTCCAGCTTCAGTGGGACAGGAACAAGGGGCAGAGCTGAAGCCCAAGGTTGAAGGACTTTCAACTAGTCCCTAGAGCTGTCACCTTGAACTCGGCACTTCTAGCCTCCTAAACTGTAAGAGAATAAATCCTTGTTTGTTCAAGCCACCTACTTTTGGTATTTTCTGTTAGAACACCACTAGGGAACCAAAACAGACTGTAATCATGGACGCAAATGCGATATGTTTTTTTCCCTAAATTCTAACAACTCCTCAGTGTGAGAGAAACATAAATCATCCCTGAGGCTAGAATAATTCTTTCTTTCCTAATTGCTGAAATACTTGCTTACACATAACACAGAATTAACCATTTTCTAGTATCCAGTATAAAGGGTGGCTAAAGAGGGCAAAACACCGTCTTTTAGAGAGTTCTGCCAAGTACCATACACTCTGTGAGGGATGTGAAAATACCTATGTTGACACACCTCTGCAAAAAACTACAAAAATCACCACTCTTACAGCCTGCAGTATCAGCCCTCGATGGAACAGGGCTAAAATCATGTGTGTGGCCTCATTCTCTTGCACACATTTTAAATACACTCTTTTTACTATTTTGTAACGTTGAAAATTACAAAACACCAAGGTAACTTGGCTGACAGCCAGAACAGGTAAGGTGGGTGGGGGACAGCCCCCAGGCGGCAGGGAGCAGTGGCAGACAGGCCTATGGCCAGAACGGTAAAGGGGGCAGGGGACAGCCCCCAGGCAGCAGGGAGCAGCCGCAGACAGGGCCAGCAGGAATAGGTAGGGGGTAGCCCAGGAAGTGAGTGGAGCAGTTGGAACAGCTAAGGGAGATGAACTTGTCTGTTGGTTTGTCATACTGTGGTGGCTTGTGTGTTGCTGTGAGGCTGGAGGCTATGCCAGCAGGGGTGCCCATGGTGGACAGGTTTCGGTGGAGCTTCCAGACTGAGACAAACTCAGAAGAAGGAAGAGGCCATCCACTTCTCAAAGAATTGCCCAGTGAAAATGTAATGAACAGTAGTGAAACAATGTCTGATATATTACTAGAAAATTTTATGAATAGCCCTGAAACACTGTCCGATACAGTGCCAGAAGATGAACCCCTTAGGTCAGAAAGCACTCAAAATATGACTGAGAAAGAGCTGCCTCATCAGAGTAGAGCCTACCTTAATGATATGGATAAAGTATAGCTTTCAGGGCCTCCATTTGCTTACATGGAATGACTCAATATGAGAAGAAATAGCTGCAAACATCCATTGATAATCAGAACATGGAATGTATGAAGTAGTAATCTAGGAAAATTGGAAGTTGACAAAAATGAAATGGAATGCATAAAGATTGATAACCTAGGCATTAGTGAGCTGAAATTGACTGGTTTTGTCCATTTTGAATCAGATAACTATATGATCTACTATGCCAAGAATAACAAATTGAAGAGGAATGGTGTGGCATTCTTTGTCACAAAGAATGTTTCAAGATCTATCCTGAAGTACAATGCTGCCAGTGATTGAATATTATCCATATGCCTACAAGGAAAGCCAGTTAATACTGCTATTATTCAAATTTATGCACCAACCACCAAAGCCAAAAAATTGAAGATTTTTACCAACTTCTGCAGTCTGTAATTGACCAAACATGCAATCAAGATGTGACTGGAATGCAAAAGTTGGAAACAAAGAAGAATCACTGGTAGTTGGAAAATTTGGCCTTGCTATAGAAATGACACTGGAGAGCTCATGACAGAATTTTCCAAGACCAATAACTTATTCATTGCAAATACCTTTTCTCAACAACACAAACAATAGCTATACATGTGGACTTCACCAGATGAAATCATAGAAATCAGATTGACTACAACTGTGGCAAGGGGCAATGGAGAAGTTCAATATCTTCAGCCAAAACAAAGCCAGGAGTTGATTGTGGAACAGACCATCAACTGTTCACATGCAATTTCAACTTGAAGTTGAAGAAAATTAAAACAAGTCCATGAGAGCCAAAATATGACCTTGAATATATCCCTCCTGAATTTAGAGATCATCTAAAGAATAGATTTGATGCATTGAACACC